TAGCGTTAGCCTGTGTTTTTAAGCTTAAATAAAAAGGCTTTAAGGCTTGTTGGCTCTGAATGCAGACCTCCAGATGTCACCAGGTACCCTGTGAGGAAAGAGAAGACATTAGTTTAATGGATAAAACTACAAATATCCACTCGGAGGACAGGTAAAGGCCTCACCTCTGTCCAGGTGCACGGTGATGGGCCCCGAGCTAACGGTGGCGGCATCGGTCACTTTCGTTTCTCCCTCCTCAGTTACACTGCGTCGCCTCCTAGAGTTTGTGGTGCAGTTCTGCAGATGATTTGGACCAGAAATGTTTAATTTAGTGTCAAGGAAATCCTCCGTTGACCTGTTTTGCACTGATACAGTGGGGGAAATAAGTATTTCATGTATAAATGTATGTGTAGATTATCTGTGTCATACAATAATATAATAGTAATTTTAGTGAACCCTGTTTTTAGTACAGTGAGATTTTTCTCAAGATTGTGGAAACATTGGCGTCATCATTTATATGTGACTCAGTGACTGTCATATTATTCTCTGTTTGTCTGTTTTTCTTTTTCTTTATTATTTGTGTTTAATATGGACCTCTTTTGTGTCTGGAATAAAGATTGATGATGATGATATTTGAGCCCTTGCTGATTTTGCAGGTTTGCCCACTTACAAAGAATGCTTATTATTCCTCATCAGATGGTTATCAGTTTTTATAAATTCATATGATGTGATCTTCTGGAATTTTCTTTGGGATTCTGTCTTTCACTGTTAGAATGTACATATGATTAAAGTTATAGATCGTTTCATTCTTTGTAAGTGGGCAAACCTGCAAAATCAGCAAGGGGTCAAATACTTATTTCCCCCACTGTGCGTATATGTTTCAAATCAAATATATCTGAGCTAAATAAAGGCTATAAATGCTGAATAAAGGGTTGGAAACTGTGAAAATATAACTATTTTACAGAAATATTTTTAAATAGTTGGGGCACTCTTTCTATTTCTGTTCAAATGAGTTGATAAAGAGCATGAAAGCTGAGATTTCTGTACATGCTAACATTCTACAGCTAAAATGTTTCAGCTAACAAATGCTAGCCAACACTTTCAAGCTAACATCTGTAGCCTAAAATTTGTATGCTACAAATGTTAGCAAACATTTGTGATAAAGCATTTTTAAGCCAGCGTGTATTAGCTGATATTTTGAAGACAAAGAAATGTAAGATAAGAAATTGTATTTTTATTTAAGATTAAAAATTGCGGCTAATATTTGCAGTCTAACATTTGTAAGATAACATTTTAAAGCCAGTGTATATTAGCTAATATTTGCAAGCCAGCAAATGTGAGCCAAAATATTTGAGCTAAACGAGTTAGTTAACATACTTCATTATGTTAGCAAACATTTCTATCCATCTGACCTGGGTGAGCGTGGGGCAGATGGTGTTCACACACAGTCTGGTGGCACAGTGAATATAGTAGGTGGAGAAGCTCCCGGCGGCACTCTGCACGAACCGGAACGCCTCGAAGGAGAAGCGCGCCTCCTGCTGCTCGCCGTTGGTGCCCAGGACCGTCTGGCCGTCCCGATCACACCTTAAAAAAGGGACATCGTTTAGTATTTTAAGCATTTTACTAGCTAAAATATTTGTCTTCATTTATAAACGTGTCCTCGTTTGGTGTAAAATGTCCTGACTTGTCCTCATAAGGAAGAATTTTCCTTTCTGTATATACATAGGATGGGTGAGTAAAGGGAGGTTTCCATGGCGATCCGCCATTTTGAAAAACTCCAATGGCAGAAAAGCACTAGTTTGCCTGTCTAGCTAATCCACAACGTGTTTTCCTTCAGAGTCCAGTGACTGATACCAGTTCTAATAAGTGACCGTTTTTTAGGAAAATAAACAGATATAGAAAATATCACCACTAATTAGCACAGTTCCTGATTTT